CTGAACCATGGTGGTGAGTTTTTCGGTCCCTTTGGTATAGTCCAAGAGATGTGAGGTGTGGTAACTTTTAAGTATGATTTTCGAAATGCGTCCCAGGCCGTTTCAATGGAGGACTCTGGGTCTATTGTCCAATCTATTAACGATGCTGAGTGCATGATGTCTGGTATGTTTGCTTTCCAGACGTTGGGTCTGGACTGGACTGACGCGTCCTCATGACTGGCAGTTATATGGAAGTCGAAAGTTAAAACTGCGTGGTCACTTTTACCTAAGGGTGGCATATGGTGGAGGTTCGCAACATCATCCTCATAGTGAGTCAGTATAAGATCTAATAAGGATGATTCAGTGTCCGGGTCGTACCTAGTCGCTTCTTTCACATGTTGCACTAGGGCACATGTGATAACCGCATCAACTAGTTCCTGCTCGAAGGAATTTTCTGACGATTCAGTTCGCAGATTTTCCCAGTCTACCATAGGTGCATTAAAGTCCCCTAGGATAAGACATCGACCACTTTGGGACCAAGTATTGAGACTGCTTAACAGGATCTCATTTGCCTCACAGCTTGGACTGCGATAGACCAAACCAATCAGCAGCTCTTGTCCCTTGCATTTTAAGCGAAGACTAACTAATTCACACGTCCCACTCTCATGGGATACACTATCGATAATGGTAAATGGGATAGCATTCCTAATGAATAGAGCTACTCCCCCTCCTTTGCGCTTTTGTGTTCTGTCGGCCCTTACTAACGTAAAGCCCTCGAAATCAAGTTCTATACTATCTATAGCCTGTGTCAGCCAGGTTTCTGTTACTGCGATTATATCTGGCTTTATAGAGTCAATCTGTACACCTAGTTCCGATCGCTTATTAAGTAAGCTTTGTGCATTGGTGTATCAGATCCGAAGCCTGTTTAAGTGCCTTCGTGCTTCACCCAGAGTGGCTTCGGCATCATTCTCTGTCGAAGTCTTACAACCCGAAAATTTACAATTTTCAGGTCCTTTTCGCCAGCGTCTAACCTATGTTGTAGTTCTTTCTCGGCTTCCCGTCTTTTAACACGGTCTGCCAACGGTAGGTCCTTACGGATAAAGACTCCTGAACCCTTTGATTTGTGTCCATTTTGTAAAATTAGGTCACGTTCGTTTGGAGAGCCGAATACTACTTTAAGCAGTCTGGAATGATTTGGTTTCGAGTCCGTTAGACTCCCTAGTCTATACACCTTTAGCAAGGTGACCCCAGTCATATTTTGAGGCATGAGTTGATTAAGCAGCTGCCTAATCAGTACAATGTCATGCCCAAAACGAGCTTTAGGTTCAGAGCTATCGCTCTCCTTAATTCTATGAAAAATAGCTGATCTGTCGGTATGATCAGCTTTCGGTTTTTCAACCACTTTTACGGGAGCAGGTTTCCCTTTTATATCAATACTTTTCTTCCTTACAACCTTTACCCATTCGTCAACGCTGCTGGTAGAAGCAATAGCAGTTGCGTCAAACCTAGTGTTGGGTTTTGGGGGGTTGTCGACGACCTGAGGGGTCGTGTTATGTTTACCATTTGAAACCGATCGAGCCTTGCGATTGCGGCTCCTAGGTGTTTCCTGTTGGATCCCATCTGGGAGACGGGGAACAGAAGACCCTACTTTTCTTGAGCTTTTTCTTAAAGCAGGCCCCTTTGGAGACTGCTTTTCCTTCTTTGACGGGCGTGAGTCATCTATCACCGGACTCACCTTAGTTTCCTTCACACTGATTTGCGTGTCAACAGATCGAGTGCTGTTTGACGCGTTCCGACTATGCTTGTTGAAACACTTCTTTGCAGCATCAACCAGTGAGATGGCCTCGGTTAACAAGCTGTTTGCATCCGAGCAGCACTGTTGACAAAGCCACACACAACCCTTCTTACTGAACCGTTTGAAAGCAGCAGGCGTTAAGTTCGTGCAAACTTCGTGGTACCAGCCTTTGCACTCGTCGCACTGCATGCCGCTTTCAACAGGATAACGACAACCCGGACGTTGGCAACTGCTTTTTTTACACTGTCCGGTCATTTAGGGGGGGGGTTTCAATATGCGATGATACCCAGAAACAAAAAAAATTATCAATGACCAAAAAAAGTGAAGAGCTGTAGATTGCTAGGACCAAAAGTACTAACAGATACAGTTGAAAAAGAGGTACTAAAGAGTACCAACGACAAAACAGTAAAAACGATACTTTAGTCGAATACTTTAACTGAAATAAATTCAATTAAAGTGAAAAACAGTAGTCTTGAGACGCAATAAACGATCAAAACAATGAAATTTACTCAGCGAGGAAAAATACCACTGTCCTTTTTAAATAGCGCGCTCTGATTGGACGCAATCTTTCTCAATACGCCGTTGGTGCAATTACTTGCAGAGGAACCTTCGTTAATCGAGTGAACTTGTTTGTGGTTGTTGTTCCCACGAAGCAGTTCACAAGTAACATTTATTCTATAGTAACTGTTATTGTCTGTTTGTATAATATACCATTTGTATCGTAACTATATTTTGTTACTCTTGATTTTTACTCACAGACGGGCACTTTGGTTTTTTTACCATTAATTCTTTTTTAGTATATTATCATTAAACCAGTGTATTGATATACCGTTTATAAGCTCCTTTTTGTTGGGAACCACCAGTCTCAATTAGATGCAGCTGCCTGTGGACAAATGTTAAGAATCTTTTTGACAGCTGGGACTTTTAGTTTATCAAACACTAACTCTGCTTGCATGTTTTCCTGTTAATAAACTAGACGCAGATGTATGGGAATACTTAAATGGGAGCAAAATAATGAAAGCATTGCAATACGGTACTAAGCCCATGTTATGCTTTGCGCAAGTAATAGTAGCTGACCTTATCTAATATTCATGAACTCAAGGTAAATGACAACTGCATAATTTCTTTGCTAAAAAACATGTAATTTGTTTATTTATCTATTTCACATTTCTGACTAAACTCATCATTATTTTTTTCATTTAGAATGCAACAGGAGTGAGCCTTCACAGACCCTAAAAACTGTTTCGCCCTTGGAACTATGACCCTATGAAACTGTTTACGGGAGACCCAACGAACAGCAGATAATAAAAAGAATGCTGGATGTCCATTTTAGTCTCACAGCCACTTCCAGTATTTTTTGACTTCTTTTACTCTTTCGTTTGGAAAAAACAACAAAAACTGCAGCTTAACATTACCAACACGTTTAAACGGGGACTTGGTTTAAACCTTTGTTTGATATTCGATTCTTAATGAAAGTTCTTGAATAAATTTTTGAATCTAATGCTACTTTGTTTTATCTACTTAATCGTTGCAAGAAACTTGTGATAAGCGAGCCTCTCAACATCTAGTTCATGTGTTCAAATGGTTGTGGACGGAATGGAAGGAGCTTTCGTTTAACAGGCTTCCGTGTCTAGTAGCAGAAGGTCACCAAAACCTCCAGGCAGGAACCTAGGTATGTTAACAATAAAAGAGGAAAGAGAAATTGGTAAATCATAGTATGATACTATCCTTAATCCTTAAGAATAGATCCACTTGCCTCTTAAAGGACTCCTGGGAAGTCGCTTGGACTAGCTCGGCAGGCAGCGGATTCCAGCATTTGACAACTCCTAAAGAGTAGAAGTTGCGTCTACAGTCCGTTCTGCTATGTTGTCTCCAGTTTTTGGGTGTTACCTCTTAAGTTAGTGTTGGAACCAAGCTTAAGTAGGTGTTTGAGAGTGTCCAGAAGTGTTAAGGATACTGTAAGCCATTAGAAGGTCACCTCTAAGACGTTTATACTCTAATGGGTAAAGGTTAAGTGATTGGAGGCGCTCTTCATAAGTTGATTTGGTGCATATCTTCGTCATTTTCTTGAGGAGCCTACAGACTCGAGTCCTCTCACAACTTATTCTAGCCATCATGAGTTGCCACGGCAACTGATGGATGGACACGCGTCACACATCCCAACCGTCCCTGCGTCTAATCCCATAGCTTCTTATTCAAATGTCATATGATAAGCAAGTAATGTCTCTACCGACACTAATGGAACACGAGTAACTCGAAGGCACCCTGTATGGTACCTTACATTGGTCTACGCACTCACTTAGCTCTTTAGTGAGAATATTATTACAGTCGTGCTAAAAATCCCATGAAACCCCTACCTCCATCAAAACAAATAAGTCTGTATTTGCTGCATATAGCAATTTTATTCTTCAGAAGTAAAATATAACAGTTAGAATTACAGTAAAATGGCAGTATCCAGCAGATACACGTGGTACATATCTTCATCGATTAACTGAAATATGTTTGACATCATAAACGATGGAATTAGCTTGATGCAATTACCGAACATTATGTTTTACACTTTCAAAAAGAAATAACTACCGAATTCTTTAGGTTTAAAATACACATCGATATGAGTGTTTTCATTAATTCTAGATTAGCATATCATCAAGTCCCTATTACTTATCGAAATTAAACAGAAACACACAAATATATCAGGTTAATTAATGCGTCGAAGAGCGTCTTGATGTGATGTTATTTTCACTATTTCCTGGAAAATCATTTACTTTCCAGTGGTGAATTATGACTAGTTATCTGTTCTGTGCATTTTACAGTTATCATGTAGATTAGACTGAAACACGACTAACCTGTATGTAACTGGATGTGGATATATGTCCATACTAATTATATGCTCATGGTATGTTTCTTCAAAATATTGCATATTTACGTTAGTGTTGTAAACTCGGTGAAAAAATACCGACCTTTGAATTTGATTTGTCAATATCAGAATGTGTTACTCACCGTCATCATTCAAAATGTAAATGTAAATGTAAATGTTCGTTCCATAGTTTAAACTATCTAAATACTTATCCCATTAATTAGATTCGATTTGGCTGCACGAGTTCGTGCTTGGGTCAAAACAGATTTAGATGTCCAAATCAGTATGGATACTGTTAGATATTATCTGAGTCAGTTTATGGATTCACGTAAAACACTTTGTGATCGATTGCGCACGATCGAAGCCAGAATGGAAAGTTGCCGACAAGATGGTAAACCTTATGATATGTATATTGAAGAAGTGAACAGTCTAACTGAATCGATTCAATGTCAAACACAAGTGATTAGCGATTTGCAACAAAAACTTATGGATGCCGGTGAAAGATCGTCGACAGATGCCTCCGGTTCACCTGATTCGACTGGTCAAATGCTCTCGTCTCGTTTATGCCAACTACACAGCATCCAAGAAGCACGAATAGCTTTGAAATATCTATTCAGACAAGTAGGTTGTACTTTTTATTCTTTTCTAACCAGACTGACCAATTGATGAATCTGTCCAAATTGTCAAGCTACATTTGAATATAAGTAGTCACTGGGTAGACATATAACAACATACGTCCGTGCTATATGGTTTATTAATTTAATGATGTAAGTTACAGCAGAATGTCGATTCTGTAAACAGGCTTCGCAAAGTAATGCCAATAGGATATGAATTCCACTTATTTATTCTCTATAAAAATGTAGTGATCTGATTTGACTAGTCAACAGTTCTTTATTTTGCTTATTCTTGCTCTTTTTATTTATTTCATAGGCATCGTCATCTAAAGTTTCTAAGATTAATTTAGAAACTCAAATATGTGAATCGGAATCCCAACTGAACGCAGAGCAACGAAAATCCGAGGAGAATGTAAGTTGGAATGATAAGTTTTCTACTGAAACACCAGTACTCGAATGCATTTGTGAAGTTCTTAAGTCGATGCAAAAATCCTATACCATATGTGCCTTGTTGAAGGGGAGCGTTATCCAGTATGCGAATACACAAATAAATTCGATTAGCATAATTTTAAAACTTGTGTTTGAAGAGATCACGACATCGCCTAGAAATCGGCGAACGGAACGAAGTATCAATGACACTACAATGCGTCCCAGCCGGTATATTTACAGGTCCTTCTGCTTTCCCACTCTTGATTTGTTCGGTCGTTGATGGAGTGACATCCACAGGAAGGTCTGTGTGTGCTGCTTCGATCTCCAATGGGCTCAATGGAGCTGGCCTATTGAAGAGTTCCTTGAAGTGTTCCACCCATCTGTTCCTCTGTCCTTGAATTTCAGTGATGGGGTTGCCTTCTCTGTTCTGAAACGGTCTCCCTGGTTTACTACATTTCCGTGCCAGTTTCTTCGCTTTGTCATATAGTTGTCCGATATTTCTTTATGTTGAAGCTGTAGTTGTCAGATCTTCTATGTGTTTCTGATTGTCAGCCCTAATGTTCATTTCCAATCGGTTGTTTGTTTCTGTGCATTCAGCTTGTGCCTTCACTGTCTCTGTCCTTGTTCAGCTGTTGTTGATTTCTGTCTTTTTGTTCTTCCGTTCTTGAATCTTGTCCAGGGTTTCGATAGTGATCCATTGATTATGATGATACTTCTTGCGATCCAGAACCAGCTGACACGTTGAAGTTAATGCTTCTTTGATCCGTTTCCAGTTATCCTCCATCGTAGTCTGATCCTACTAAACCAGAGCTTTGTTGAATTGTTTGATTTTGTCAGTATGTCGAGAGAAGGCTCTATTGAACCTTTGTAATTGTCCTTCTCCAGTTGTCAAGCATTTCGTTAACTTCAGTTTTCTCTTGGTTACAAGTAGGTGGTGATCTGATAACATCAAACTCTCTGCTTGATGTTATGTCTTCCATTGATATTGTGAATTTTTTAGTGATACAAATATGGTCAATCTGGTTCTGTGTGGTGTGATCCGGTGAGACCCATGTAGCTTTGTGTATGCGTTTATGCATGAATATAGTACCGCTTATGACCATTTTGTTGAATTCAAAAGTTTCGTTTCTCTCTCTCAGTCTATTTCGTCCCAGGATATTTCCATATCCAGTGTTATCCATTCCGACTTTGGTGGTTAGGTCTACTGTCGGGATGGTGTCATCCTTTCTAAGGCGCTTCGCTATGATTGATTGCAGCCTCTCATAGAACTGATCTTTATGGTCGTTGTTGCAATGATCGGTGTGTGCATATCCTTGGATAAAATTCATTGTGATTCCCTCCTTCTTTGTTTTGAAGGACATTTTGATGATTCTGGATCCTTGAGAAACCCGTCCTATAAATGCATTACGTACTTCTTTTGACAGCGTCAGAGCGATTCCTCGAGTGTTGAGGGAATTATGTTCTTCGTGACTGGAGTACAGAGGTATCTCTCCCGTTTCCAGCTTTTTCTGTCCAGCTTGTGTTCATTGTTTTGCACTGGTTCCGAAAACCGTCAAGTTGTATCTTCGAGGATCCACAAATATTTTACTAATACTTCCGGTCTCCCACATTGTCCGAACATTCCATGTTCCTATATTAATTGTTGCTGTGGTTGTTAGAAGGGACATCAGCTTTGTGACTTCCGAAGAATGTTGGATGTAACCATGAGATTTCATAATTCTTCCTTGAACTAGGAGGATATTGTTTGAATGGTTTAATTTGTTTGTTTATGTTGGCGTATTTTTAGCAAAGTTGTTTTCTATGGGATGGGGTTGTTGACCCCTTTAAGCGTGTTTGGGATCGGCAGTAACCCCAAAATAGGTACAAACGGAGTTATTAACTGGAAAGACGATACTATTATTACGAAATCATATGAAGTGCATTGATAGCCCCGAACTCATGAAGTGTCTGCCATGTTTGTACACAGTTATTTGTAATACCGTACGATGTGACAGCTATTAGCTGTGTCTAATTTACAATGGTAGAGTCTCAAAGTAAGAACGAAGAACACCAAAGTATGGAATCTTTTACAGTATGATAGGGTTTAACAGAAACAATCGGAGTAAAAATATCTATTCCAAATGTCACGAAGATATAGTTACCATAATCAATGGACTGAATGCCATCAGTTTATGTAAATTCTCAGGAACGTTATGATTGCAGACGCATGTCCCATTATACTTCCAAAAGTTATTGGAAATGAAATGGGTTACTGAATATTGATAAGTAGTATATAGCAATAGGGTGGAATGGAAAGATAAAGATGTCATTGTAAATGACGTCTGACCACCACTAAGAGAGCAAAACTCATACATTGTCCCCCAACATCATATAAACTACTGTGTCACATCCTAATCTACATGTTTATGTAGATACCCATTAGGGTATGCAGTTGTCAGTGTAATAGAAAGTACTTTGGATTAATTTCTCATTACCAAATTCTTAGATAACCATGCTTCTCCATGGTTGAAACAACTTTATAATTTAGGAGAACGCATCCTTTCATTTTCGACAGCTTTGTCCTAATATCACACCTTTGGTAGTTATCCTCACGTGTTTTTAATATCTTTCCTAATTCTTGGTAAAATTTAAACATAAAGTGTCCTGATAGTACGTGACTATCGTTTAAAGTAGTGCTCGAGGTTGGTCATCATCATCATCACCACCACCACTTAGGTTTGGTGCTGTATTTATAATCAACTGCATGTAATCGGCTGGCAAACGTGAATGCATCTTTCTAAGATGTCATACTTCATTTCATCTGAGGAAGTGAAAAAATTATCTGAATGTCAACACGGTCTTTGAAATTAATAATAAATGCTGTTGAATAAGACAAGTGAAATATCACAACAGTAACTATGAAATAATATTAAAATGCCAAGATTTGACGGAGAAGAGAACAGAACAACTACATCTGTTCCATTGCGATTGATTTCAAATTTATGGTGTTCATTGATAGGTATCGTTTTTGATGCGAAACTCTGAAAAATGATATCTTTCTCATCCAATACAGTCTCAGCCTAACAGTCAGTGGCAGATGCTATTCATTGGTCCAATCATATTAAACTTCTTTCTCAATCTACTCAAGTGTCGTACAGTTGATGGCTGGACATGCCTGACACATTTCAGGCACACCAAACGGCTCAGATTCCCATTCTAATCACTCGATTTATTATTCTCTTAATTAAACGCCTTTATTCCACTCTCAGTTTATCATTCCTTGTTGCAAAAACATTTGTAAGGAAATACCAACCACCTTTACTAGTCTATTCACGTCCTTACTAATGTCTTGTCCTTGTTTGTTCATGTCTAGATGAAAGACGTTCAATCTCGTCTTCAAGCCGCTAATGAAAACATTGACCAATTAAAAATAGAAAATGCTCAACTACGAGATGCTAGTAAAATTCAGCACGATAAATTATTGACGATAAGATCATTGATTACAGTAAGTTTACTAAGAGTTTTTACTCATGAGCAGATAGTTTATTATTGTTAGTAGTGAACATTTCGTTGTCAAAGTCATGAATGGTCTGGAAATACAGTATTGATAATATTTTTTTCCTCAAAACTCAGAAAGACAGTGAAATGTTTAAAACACCTTCGAGCTAATCGGTATCTTGTGTAAACATTCTTATTAAGTGGGATACTTCATGTATTTTTCATCTTACTCAAACTGTGCATCTAAATGTCATCTGCGATTATTCATCAATTTCCACAAAATCCGTGTAGCAACAATAATCCTGTGCTCACTGGTGAGAAGTTATGACTGGTGAAGTCCAACCATGCTGATATCGAGACAGTTATCCACGATAGGCAATAGAAGATAGTCATATACCATAAATCACTCTGGCCTCATATTGCACCATGTATCAATCAAGTGCATATTTTGTTTAATAAGCAAAGGGACTAAGATCATCAATACCATTTAACAATATTTAGGCTACACTACACTTATCCTCCTGAGAATACTTGTCATTTATAGTATAATGGATCATTGAAAGTATCGCCAAATATCTTTATGAACTTGCTTCTTCCTTTGTGAATGCTAAGCACCATTTCTATTGATGCCACCTCTATACTGGCTGTGTTCGCCTAAATTTATTGCTAGGAGTGGGATAATAGTAATTGGTCATCTACAAAGTCTAAGGTGTTCACTGTATTCCGTGCATCCCCAGATATGTTATGGTCTTCATAGTGCAGTCAGCAGCTGGAAAAAAAGAAGAAAAACGAGAGTAACCAGTCTTGTCTGACACTGGTCTTCACTTGAAATACATCTGTGAGCTACCCTCCCTGCACAATTTCGCAATTCAGTACTTCGTATGAGTTCCGTATAAAAATGAAAATCTCTTCAGGCACTCCATATTTTTGAAAAAATCCACTCTTTTGTATCCTTTCTCATAATCAAGGAAGTTACTGTACAGCGATGAGTTCCATTCGATTGATTGTTCAACATTGAGTTGTACTATCTCGATTCGGCCCGTACGTAATCGATACTTATAAAAGTCTTCACGCTGGTCTCTAGGTTGAGTTACTACTGAATCCTTCGCTCGTTTCAGTTACGCTCTGTTGCAAACTTTGCCTGGCTTTAACAATGGTGTAACCCTTTCTTTGTGGTTCTCACAGTTACTAAGATTTACTTTCTTCTCAAGTTTCCTATGAATCGAGTTGGTTCGTTACTTTGACATGGTGATGTCAAATGAATGACGCTACTCTGGTCCTGCATGCGCGTTTCGGAGACGCAGCACACAACGATGGCGCGAGATTCTGAAGTCCTAGCTAAGGAAGCTTGTCGTTCTATTTGGTACAGTGTTCGGCGTTTAGAGGAAACGAGGAGAAATCAACCTGTAATTACAAGAGAAAACCAGAAACGGTTTCACAACGATTGTTTTAGTGTATTTATTCTTTTATGAACAACAAATCACGATATCGAAGCTGTAATATACATAATGAAATGGACTACGATTGTGAAAAATAAAGAAGCGAAACACAACACACAAATTAATGTTATCCTACTGGTTCTATCGTAAGCAACAAATATATACATACA